TTAGCTTGCTTATTTGCGCTCACTAAGTTTACCTGTTCTGGAAAGTCATGCCCATAAATTTCCTTCATAGGACTCTGTTAATTGAGTTCCTCAAATTCTGATTTATTGCATTGGCATTATTGTTTTACTACACAAAACTGTCTGCTTTCTTCTTTAATTTCATCTGTGGCACATGGTTGTTTAAGGGCTTATTTAATTTCCATGTGTTCATAGACTTTGGGAAATGGGCAGAAAATGGGAAGAAGACAAGTGGAGGTAAGAGGGAAATGAAGGAAGCCACAAGAATGAGAGCATAGAAAAAACTGAAGCAAAGTATTTTTTACATAAGGAGAAGTAAAGGAATTGAATACAAGGGAAGGAGTGAGAAAAATGAAGAACAAAGATATATCATGTACGGGTGTAAGATCCCTATGATGACTTGTAATTATGCATATTAATAATTTACCAATAAAATTTGTGAACAATTTAAATAATGATTACAATGGATTTTTCTTTGGGATAATCAATTACACGTGTGGATTTGGGCACAAAGTTGTGATCTCTTGGGCCTTGCTTGGTTCCTCAGTCTGTATTGATCCCTCCAGTGTTCACTTATCCCTTTTCCTAGCTGATTTCTTCTCCCAGCATGTAATGCATACTGGCATTCTCAGCATCCTGGAGTACACTGCCGTCCACCGTCTCTTCCACTCCTCAGTGTAAGATCATGAGGACTCCGTGGAACAGATGTCCTTTACCTGAAACTTCTGCATCTAAAATGGTATCTGGATTGGACAGTGTCCTCCCTATTCATCTGCCAGGTGGATGAATGGGTGAAATTCATCAAAATGCTTAAAAAGATCACCTTAATTATAGATTAAATATAGATTCTGTACATAAATACCTGCAGTACATTTTTAATGTGAAATATTTATAACAGAAGCTTAGTACTACAAATGGTATATTAAATAGGTGCCACTAATAGGTCATGTAATATTAGAATTTTCATTGATTTATAGTCAAAAATGTAAAATTTATTAATATCTTGCTTTTCCACTTTGAGAAACATATAAGTGAGTTAAATATCTTGCCCAGGGTCTGAGGAGATAGCTCAGTAGAATAAGTGCTTGCTGGGCAAACACAAGGTCCTGAGTTCAATCTCCAGTAATGAAAGAAAAAAGAAAAAATGTTTAGGAAAAAATGATTAAAATACAAATTCCAATGTTGTGAATTTAAAGCGTGAGAATTTAGTTACTTTTATTTAAAAAAAAAGTCCTCAGAATAACATGTACAAAGGAAAAGCATCACAAAAGAAAATATTTGATTTTCATAATAAGTTTTTCCATTTTGAAAAGCAGAACTCACAGGACCCCAGCCCTGTATGCTCTACAGAGCCACAGGAGAAGGCAAGCAGAGCGCCTCGTGTGCTCCGAGGTTGAATTGCGCTTATGAACCACAATTCATAAGCAACAGCAGGTCAGTTATTGAGTAAGCTTAATCATACAAATATTTTCATTTGGTATTACGGAAGTGTGACTGCTCTTCTATTCCTAGCTGCCCCAAGGGACATGGGAGAAAATATCCCAAGGATGCGCTCTCAGACACAGTTTAAACTTCAGCAATCCAGCCTGGTTTAGCAAGAGGAAAGCGAGCAGAGGTAGCTGCGGTGGTTCTCTCTCTCCCGGAGCATACATAGCCCGCTGGGAAGGAAGTGGTCAGCTTTTTTTCTCATAGCACAGGAGCATAGGCGAGGACAGCCATGGCTGGTGAGTGCTGGAATTTATGTCTGAAAAAAGGTCTGGTCTTGAGGAATGCTTTGCTCTGAAGGGTGTAGTGCTTTCATGGATGTGTAGGTAGGCAGGTCTGAGGGGAGAAGAAGGGGAGAGGAAGCAAGAGGCTCAGGACCCTGAGTGGAGGCAGTGAGTGAAGCCTGTGGCAGAATAAGCCTGGATCTACTGGAATCAAGGGTATTTTGCGATTTTAAGTGTCCTCATTCAGACAGAGCAAAATGAGGACCAGAAGCTGCTGTCCGAAAGAATATGCATGTTTATTGTTTTTCTGTTTTGATATTCAGAGACAGATAGAAGACAACGTGAGCTGTGACAGAGTAATGTGTGCTGCTCACTCAGCAAGGGCAGGATAGGAACTCTCTTCAGGCCACTCCATGCATGCAGATGGGCCTGCTGGAGGGACAGAGGTGGCAGAGCGACAGAAAGAAAGTGCACTCGACTCCTCAGAGACGGATGACTTGGAACTGAGACTAAAAGAAATTTTCTTGTTGTTCAAAATCTGAGAGCAAAATAAGCATGTTTTTATGACTTCAGAAATTCTCTTGCTTCCAACAGACAAAATCCTGAAGGGAAAACGGAAGAAGTTTGTTCACTCGGTCGGCACAGGTACTCTAAATGGTCTGCTGGATGAATTGCTGCAGAAGCAAGTGCTGAACCAGGAGGAGATGCAGATTATAAAATATCAGTGCGTAACAATTATGGAAAAGGCCCGAGCGCTGGTGGACGGCATCATCCATAAAGGGCCCCAGGCCTGCCAGATCTGTATTGATGTTGTTTGTGAGGAAGACTACTACCTTGCTAGAACACTGGGGCTCTTCTCAGGTAAGGCTCGATGCATGCAAGCCGCTTGTATTCTTTCTTTATTTTCTAATTCATTGTTTCCTTGTAGTGTTGTTTAATTTACTGCTCACTATTTTATTTTATGGAAAAATTTAAAAATTCAAATACAATTATAGGAGAATAACAGCAATTAATATATATTTAATACATTTCGCACTGGTGTTTTCAAAGTAGTTACTCAGATTATAAGATAGAGGCATAAAAATTTCAATGAATGATATTAGCACAATTCTATCTTTTCAAAGAACTAAGAGAAACTGGTAGTGTAAGCATCTTGGATGGTTTTCTTTGCTTTACTACTGTAGGAAGTGTGCAGGTAAGTGCCTCCTGTAAAGGCAGGCTCAGTTTCTTGGTCAGCAACATTTCTGGCCTTTTTTTCGCCGCCCTGAGACAGCTTCAGCTCAACCTCCCAGAGGCTGCATTTGCAAGTCTGCCCTCCTCCTCCGGTTCCATTCTTGTCTGCCTGCATAGTGGTGTCACTGCGCCACTTGTTCAAGCCTGACATCTAATATTTGTATTTGGTTCTCTCTCTTTTTGTTTTTTTGAATTTAGGGTATGGTCTACAGGGTCTCAGTACATAGATCAGACTCACAGGGGTAGTGATCCTCTTGTTTTCAGCCTCCCAAGTGCTGGGACTACAGGTGCGTGCCACCACACCCAGTCTCTATCGCTGTCTCAGCCTGCCCCGTGGGGGGGAGCAGCACAGCGCTCCAGGGATTGAACCCCCAGCCGCTGCACTCTGCCTAGGCAAGTGCTTTAGTCCCCTGAGCCATCTGGCTGTCCCATATTCTTTCCTTTTAGATTTCAAGGAGTAGCTGAGTCTCCTTGATTCCTCTCAAGCCTGAATTTACCTCTCCTTTTCCAGACCTGCTGCTGTGTTTACAAGTGTACATTCCCACCTGCACAGTAATTCTCCATCCACACCTCTCACTTTCTTTTTCTTATTTTCAAACAAGTTTGTCTTTTTCTACCACTGCACTTCATGCTTTATAATGAAATTAAACCTTTCTGATCAATTCATTGTTCTGCTCTCATCTAACCTTGGTTGCTTGGCAGTGTGCAGTACTATGTAAAAGTTAAAAAAAAAGTAACACTAAATGAAATCTATCAGAATTTCTATTTTTAGTAGGATACACAAAAATAACTTTATATTCCAGATCTTATCTTATATACAGATTTTAAACAATATATAATAATGAACATGACACATAATGTTCCTCCTTTCCCTGAATTTGCTTGAATATCTAAATCGTGAATGTATAAGTTTGTAAACATCTCCTATCAATTTATTTATTTATTTATTTATTTATTTATTTATTTATTGGCAGAACTCTCCTATCAATTTAAAGCAAGGCAAATGATGCTCATCACACCTGTACCAGTTAAGATCATGTGGCGTCCAATAGAAACATCAAATATTTACACTAATTTAGGCATGCCATTTCAGCTTTGGGAGGTTGAGTCAGGAAGATAGTAAGGTGGATCCCAGCCTGGACTTCTTGTTGTAGGGAGAGCCACAAAATTTACCTCAGGGCAAAATCCCAGGGTCCAACCCCCCCTACCCTCCAAAATTAAACCTACCAAACTTTGATTAGTAGAAGCTCTGCTTCGGTTACAATCGTCAGGCTCCAATGCCAATATGTGCAGTGTTTTCTGCATACTAGAACATGACGTGTGATGAAGGAAACTTTTCGAACGGACATTCGTGATCAACCGGAAGTACTCTTGCAGCGCTTTTTAACTGAGCTGTTAAGACTTCTCCATCCCACGGCTCTGATACCTGCAATATGCAATGACAAAAGGACTACAATAACATCCAGTAAGTGACATTAGAAGCATCGTAGAAGACAGTCTGTGGAAGATTTTTCCAGGCTCAGCCTGGATGTGTCTCACCAAATACGTTCTTGCTCTCCGTCCCAAAGCCCAGTCCCTGGGCCACACCTGTGCTGTGGGGTGCTTGTCTAGATCTGTGTGCACACCGGAAGCACACAGCCTGCACCACAAGCACTTGAGAACTATTCCTGATTCCACACAATACTAAGGGTAGTTCAGGGAATTCCTCTGTCCCAGGTGACAAGGACCGTCTTCACCTTCCGTGCCATGCTCGGAATGCTCTTCTCAGCCGTGTGAAGGGTCAGCCTGCACCGGGCTCCCTGCTAGCTAACCTTACTGTTGGAGGAGACTGGCCTCTTCCTAACAACTAGTCACTTTTTCATACAAAGGCTTTTCACTCAGAATTGTGGAATAATATAACCCAAAATGACCACTTGACATATTAGGAGCTGATGTTTGGAAGGAATATGGAGCACAAAAACCTGGGTGAAAGTCGCTGTACTGAACCAGTTAATGGTGATTTAATAGCATTTTTCAAATATCTATTTACTTATTTATTCATTCATTTATTTATTTTGGTGCAGGGTATCACCATGCAGCTCAGACTCATGGTGATCATCTCGTCTCAGCCCTCCCAGGGCAGGAATTATAGGCTGCATCTTCTCCCCCGGTTTGGAGGCCAGTTCGGCTCACCAAGAGTTCTGGGCTGGCAGAGCGTGCATTAACTAGGGATGGAACCCAGGCCTTGCGCTTTCCAAGCAGTCAGTCAAACCGCTGAGCTACCTCCTATGCATTTAGTGGTGATTTAAGCATGCATATTTTCTTAGATATTTCTTGGAATAGGATTCTCATTATATATCTAAATTCTTTATTGTATTATATTGCTGGAAAAATGGCTTTCATACAATTTAAATATTTCCATTTATTTTTGCTATTGTACCTGGAAGACATCATTGAGAAACAGAACACTTCTCCCAACTAATGATTATTTCTACTGTTTTGTCCAGCATACCCATTCTAATTCGCTTTTATTTTTTGCAGTCAAAATGTTCAGCGATGCTTCCTTTTACCTCACTGATTATGCAACAGGTTTTTAAACATTCCTCCTTAAAATTAATTATGTTTTCAATTTTAAAGTTTGCTTTTTAAAAATGTATCCAGATAGCTACATAAGTTATTTCTATTATAAAATAAGCAAATACAAATGCAGTTCTCCAGCCAGTGGGTTGGGTCGGTGAATGATGTGCGGTCAAACAAAAGCCTTTGGGATTTTCTCATACATTATAAGGCTGTAGGAACTTTTCCTTTCACAGTTGGGCGATCGATGTTGAGGAAGATGTTTACACCTGACATGCTCCTAGACTGTAGCGCTTGTCATTCTGCTTTGGCTGTTCTATTGCATATTGAATATTGTCACTCTTTCCTATATGAGTACACTACAGAAAATTACCCTGAAGAACAGGATGAAAGTATATTTATAAAGAACCCAGAATATCTACTATCATGTCTCTTAAATTCATATAGAAAAACATGTATGTTTTACAAAATAGTTGAATAAAGTCAAGACATATCCTTAACAATATAATATGTTAGCATATCTTAGGATTTAAATCTTTTGAAATAAATTTGTATCTTAATTTTCTTCTAACACATTGTTTTCCCACTACTTTGTCATGTATAGACAGGAAAAGCTCCCTTTCTTTATGTTTATTTAGATGCCTGTCAAGATGGCTATTGCGGCAGGTAGATGTACCTCCCTGCGTCAAACCACTGGCCATCTCCTCTGGCCGGAATTGTGCTCCACTAGCAACGAATCCGCTCTACTGTATTAGCACATATCCCAGGGCTGTGCCCCTGGATGGCACTGCGTCTGTGTGGCCTCTCATAGCTGATTCTGTCAAGAAGATCGAGGTAAGCAATCAGAGATGTAACTATTCATAGTTCTTGTCTCTTGCAGCTTCTCAGGAAGTACAGGACAATCAACTTATGCCCATGTCCTCAGGACGAGGAGGAGGTCTGAAGCTTTGCACCCTGGAAATGGCTCAGAATATATGGAGAGAAAATTCAGCAGAGGTGCTGTGCTTAGAATACCACACGGGACATCGTTTTCTATAAATTGAAGTGGATCTGAGGATCATGTCCTCAAATCTTCTACTGAATCCTCAGGGTGCTCCCTGACCTACAAGAGCCCTACCTCCTAGAAGCTCAGGCTGAGAGAACCAGTTCCACTGCTCTGGAAAAATAAAAATTGTACTAAAAACAATGTCATGGCTGGTATTGGATGCTTTCTATGAGTCTGACATTACCATAAATATTCTGCATATTAGTGATGCTAACCTTAGAAATATCCATTTTAAATATCAAAGGATTGTTAAATACTTTGTCCAGAGTCAGTTAATCAGAAAGTGAAGGTGTCAGTTTTTAATGTCCATCATCCTGGCTTCAGATCCTCTGTATGTATGTATATATGTATGCATGTATGTATTTTTATCTTCATTTCCTTGAATTATTTTATTTTATCTTTTAATTACTCTTTATCTGTTACTATAATTTTATTTTGAAGAGTAAAAACAAAAGCAAGAAAAATAAAAACAAATACAGAAACAGGGTAATGTATAAAATTACATATATTACAGATTTTTGAAACAAAAATAGCTGAATAGCAATGAGTGATATATTATTGTTTTTTATGATCAAGTCTGTTGCTTACATTAGCAGATACAGTTATGCAAGATGAGCCATATGATTGAATATTATCGCATGTTTTCAAAGAATCTTAAATTTTTGTTCTTGATTCTCTTTTCCTTTTATTACCTTTTCTAAAAAAATACTTTCATGAGAGTATAGTAATAATTGATGTGACATTAAAAAAATGATACACATGTTCTTGGTCTTCTTAATGAGTAGTGTGTGTCTTTTAAAAATATCCACTTGTCAAAAGTACAGGCAGATGGGCAGCTGTGAGCTGGGCTTCTGCATACACCATTTCCATGTCTTCATTAAGCCTCAGCTTGTTAAACTGTTGTTTATGGGATTTGGGTGTTTGTGTGCTTGTTTGTTTGTTGCAGTACAAGGCATTGAACTCGGGAGCTTGTGCTTACCAGGCAGGCACTTATGCAGCTGAGCTATCTTCCCAGGCCCAAGGAATTTGATATCTTAATAGGGAAAGGAGAAACTGTTGTAAACACACAAAATGAATCCTGAGCTAAGGGAAATACGCCTTTCGTTCAATCTCCTTTTCTTACAGATTTATCCAATAATGAATCAGTTGACCCGCACGCGTCTTGCCCTCATTATCTGCAACACAGAGTTCGACAGTCTTCCCAAAAGGACTGGAGCTGAAGCTGATATCAGAAATATGAAAACACTTCTAGAAGGCCTGGGATACCAAGTGATTGTGAGAGAAAATCTCACGGCTTTGGTAATTTTTTTGCTCTATAAAGACAATGACTAAATCCATTGTACTCACAAATAATATTAGAAAGGAAATTGATCATACTAGGAAACATAATTTCTTTGTAGTCTGTATGTGAATTCTTCCCTTTGAATGTGCTTGGTGTTACCTGTCGTCTGCCAAGGCAGGAGAATTTTAGTAATAATCCTGTGCATCTTTCTATTGGGAAATCTTTTATGAACTCAGGAAGGTCACCTCTCTGCAGGAAATCTTAAGATGACTTTCTTTATCTGCTGCTTTCATGACTTGTCAGAGAAGTGAGATGTCAACCATCTTTCCTGCTTTCCTGATTTTCATGGCATGGCTCAGGGAATTCCTGAACTGTTTCTCAGTGGATTCTCAGGATACCATGATCATGAGTTCCAAAGTTGGTTTTGGTGATATCTTTCAGGAAATGGCCACAGAGGTGAAGGCGTTTGCAGCCAACCCCCAGCACAAGACCTCTGACAGCACTTTTCTGGTCTTCATGTCTCATGGTATTCTGGATGGTATTTGTGGAAAGAAACACTCTGCAGAAGAAAATGATGTGTTGCAAATGAGCAACATCTTTGCAATGTTGAACACTAGCAACTGTTCAAGTTTGAAGGACAAACCCAAGGTTATCATCATCCAAGCCTGCCTTGTAGGTCAGTTTGATTCCGTTAAAGCAAAGCATTCAATTACTGACCTTATAGTTTGCATGCATCTCTCTCTCTCTCTCTCTCTCTCTCTCT